GATCGATTTTAGATGTTTACCACTTAACTGCTGTAAATAAGCAACCGCTTATGTGCATATGGCGAAAATGGTCTCACTTGAGGTGTTGTTAAAAGGGATTCTGCTGAAATTAAAATGCTTCAGGTGTTATGAGGGCTAAAAGTAATTCTCCTGCTGTTGTTACAATATGCTCTTAATATTAAACACTAAGAAAAATTATGGGTGTTTATATATTTCTTAATATTCCTCATTCATTACTTAATAGTAGTACACACTAACTAGCAATAGAAAAACAAATAAAAGGGTTACTATAATAGACTCCAATGGAACATTGTCATCTAATATCTGCCATTTAAACTCTTGTAGACAAGCAGAGATTTATCGGCAAATCCAGGACTACTTCCAAGAAAACCATAAAGAAAAAATCATAGGGTTATATTTAACATAGGATTAATTATTAATCGTAGGATTTTATTATCATAGGATTTTATTATCAATCGTAGGATTTTATTATCAATCGTAGGATTTTATTATCCATTAATTATTCATAGTATTTTATTTTAACCTCCTGTGTTGAATTGCAATGCCTCACGGAGTTTTAAATTTTTTTTACTCCTTTTGTAATCAGAAAGATTCGAGTGCTGTATTCTTCCTCTCTGTTACAGCATCATTTTTTTACTTTATAAAATTTAATCTCACTTTATTTTTAATTTCCTGATCATTCAATTCTATATTTATTTGAGAACAATATTTTTTCAAATAAAAGCAATCTCAGAACACGGCAAACATAAAATTAATAACGAGCAATCGACTTACTGGCGAGGGATATAGGAAAATGGGAGCAGTTACGAAGCACGATTTACATGAGGGGGGTAGTACTGTCGCTTAATCAAGAAAGCCAAGTTTATAGCGAGCCTTCTGCGTAGCTAGCATATAAAAGAAATAAGGGTTCGATTTGATATCATATATTATTATGCAAGGATCCCAATATGGCTTTATTGATTAGATTTACAACTAAGCTGTGTTTCGAATGGTTGAGTAATGTTTCTGTTTCGATTTATCATTTAAAACTAAAGCCATTTGAAAGGTTAAAAGAACGTGTGTTATGGTAATATGCGTTATTTTCGTCAAGCTGGTTGCTTGGAGATTTTCCTGGTTTTCCTTTTATGTAACAGGTAAACCAGTTATCCTTAGAAAGGAAGACATTCTTCCTTCTTTTTCTTTTTGTTAGTTCAGAATAACAAGAACCGTTAATAAAAGCCGAATGTGGTTGAAAAACATACAATATCACTGATAAAGAACATCGAGTCACACATAGGTTTAAGATTATTATTTTGTATAAATACATAATGAACCTTGTTCTATATATTGTTGTTGTTTTTTATCAGTAATAGCTAACTAGTGGCAAGCAAGTTGGACTAGCGTTGGCTTCACTTACACTAAAATTTAGAAATGAAGATTATTTTCAAACTTTTTAACCAACTTTAATTCCAAAATTAGGTTTTCCGAGGAATGTTCATAGCCTTTTGAAAGTTAATACATTCTTACTAAATTGAACAGTTCAAGACATTTTATAATGACTGGATGCACATTTTAAAAATTCCAGGAATATAGCAGAAACGTATACCCACCCTAATTCCGGCCTTGGGTGCAGCTTTGGATAAAGCCTTTCGAATTTTTTAATTGGCTGCAAAGGTTTTGCATCTAAACATAAACCAGGAAAAAACGAAATATATGATTTTCTCAAGAAATATTTGTCAGCATACACCCAATGTTACCTTAGGCACTTACACATTTCAATATGTACTTAGTTTTGAATACTTAGGATCAGAAATTGTCATAATATCTTACCGGAATTAAAAAATAGAATTGTGTCTGAAAGTAAGTCTTTTTATGGGTTAAGACATTTTAAATCACAGTTCATATTCAGAAAAACTAAATTCTTGTTATATAAAACACTTATTAGACCTATTTTGATCTATGGCTCTGACGCATGGACTTTGGTAAGATCAGATCAGATTAGATCCATTTGAGTATATTTGAGTGGAAGATTTTAAGGATTATTCTTGGAAGTGTTTGGGAAGCTGATTGTAGGAGAAGATTAAGATCAATAGGTTAAACTGGGCTGTTCATGTATTTAAAATAAATGATTTCCCTGTAAAAAGGCTCGCTTTGGCAAACCCACAGGGACAAAGAGGAAGAGAACGACCCAAGTTGCGATGGATAGAAGCAATTGAAAAAGATTTTTGCTGTCCTGAAAGTTAAGACTTGGAAGGTCATTTGTCACCCAGAGGAATGCATGGAAATCTCTTCAAAGGAAAGACTTGACCCACTCTGAGCTGTCATGCTATTGATAATGATGAATTCAATAAAGGCATTACAGTGAAGAAAATATAACATAAATCATTTATGACACATTCAAAATAGGGTTGTGACTGAATTAAATTATCTAGCCCCATAAATAAAAAAACCATTAATTTCAAGAGATAGAATTATTTCTATATTTAATACATATATAAATGTAAGACAGTAAGTAAAGTAATATTGAAGTAAGTAATATTGAATTTTTTTGGGGGGATTTCCTTTCTTTAATTAGATAAAGAATACATATTTAAGACAATTATTATAACAAGAAAAAGGATTCTTGGAAAATTAATATTCAGAAATTATCATATGAGGTTTTGCATTTCATTTCGCATTACAATAAATAATATGCCAACGTCCGTACCATGCTGAATATACCGGTTCTCGTTCGATCACCGAAGTTAAGCATCATTGGGCGCGGTCAGTACTTGGGTGGGTGACCACCTGGGAACACCGCGTGCCGTTGGCAAATTTGGGACCTGAATGGCCGAGCTCTGGCGCTCGGTGCCACAGGTTTCGGGTTCGAATCCCGGCAGTGCCATGGATGTTTGTAGTGGTTCGGAATCCACTTTAAGCTGTAGGTCCCAGTCTCCTATGACTGTAAGAGCGCCACGGAGCAAAAGTCAGACTTCTACCTACGGGTGCTCCATCACAACAGAAGCTGCTTCCTTCCCCTTCAATCATGAGTCCATATGGGATTGTGGGCTTGGCCAGCCAAGTGGGATAAGAAACAACAACAACAACATAAATAATATAGCAAGTAAAATTCCTCTTATATAATATTAAATATAGACAAAATGATAAAATCTTTATATAAAGATCATCATGCGGAGGAGGGAAAGAATGAAATTAGAGCACAATGCATTAAATAAATTTAATATTATTTTTCATGATAAAGTTTTTTTGATTTAGAATCAAAGGTTTATGATCTCAAGTATTAAGTCGAACTGCAAAAGATACCTGTAAAAAAGCATTGAAAATTTATTAGTGTATTTAATATTTTTTAAGGTACTGAAACAGAAACGAAACACCATGCTAGAGTGTTTCGACGAACATAACATAAATAACTTCTTTCTTAAGACATTGATTAATTCGAAAGACTATATTTCAATAAATGAATATAAATTTTTGCATCTTTTATCCAGGTTTTAAATTGCATGTCTTTGTAAGAAATACTGCACAGTGTTTGTAAAAATCTTTTAAAATGATTTCATATACTGAAAATTGAAATATTCTATTTAATGACATTCTATGGAGAAAAAAAAATATATAATTGAAATGCGAGATCAACTTTTAATTTAAAGTATTTGCATTAAAAATATCTTTTATATAAGTACCCAAGTTAAAATATCTTTTACTTAGACCAGCTTTTGTAATTCAAAAAACAATCTACATAATTTCTCCTCCGTTGAGTTTCAAATCATTTGATTCTCGCTTCATAATAAACATTCTACAAAAAAAAATTTCTAAAAGAAATTGAATCTTTTTCATCTTCCTGTACAAATAACGTCTGCTAAACAAGGACCCTATAATGTTCATATTCTTTTACTAACACTCCGCATTTAAAAAGCGGGAAAAAGTTCGAACTCAAAAAGAGAACTTCTCACACAAAGGCGGCCGCCGGAGCCAGACTGCGAAGAGCTCGGAATTAAATTTTCTTCTGAACTTCTTACATCCAGGGGGAAAGAGTACCATAATATCCAACTGAAATAAAAAATAAATAAACAAAACTAAGGAAATGAAACAAAAATTTGTTTCGCGAACTTATTTTTGTGTAAGCTCGTATCTTCTGTTAGTGACATTCGCGCAAGTACACATTGGTAAAGCGATTGCGTGTGAAAATTGGGCGAGCAAGGAAATTGACTTTTATTGCAAAACACTAAGAAGAAAAAGAAATACTGGCTATTCTGAGGTATAAGTTGAAATTCTTCTTTATAAAAGAGTGAAATGCAGTTGATAAAACAATAGAAGATTTTTTTTTTTAATCCAAACTACTAAGTCTGACAGGACGATGAAGTGAATAAAGGATAAAAAACCCCAATTATTCTTATTTGAAATGAAATGATAAAGAAAAGAAAAGAAAAGAAAAGAAAAGCCATTTTCTAGTTGAATGGCATTCGTTGTCGTAGAGCGTGAAGGTGTTTTACTCTCGTAGAAGTAGTTTGGAAATCCTGGAAGTGGTGTCAACTTGGATAGTTCTAAAGTGGAGACTAAAAAAATTCGAGTATTTTTGTTGTTTGTAAAAGATAAATATCCGTTTCTTAAGTTAAGTTTTGAATTTTGTTTTTGATACTAGATGCATTCATGACTGATTAGATGTACTACAAAATCTTTCTGATTACAAAACTATTATTAATTGTCATATGTTAATGTGTTAAGCCAACGGCCGTACCATGCTGAATATACCGGTTCTCGTTAGATCACCGAAGTCAAGTCAAGTCAGTCGGGGGGTGAGGAATGAGGCACCAATGCCTTAAGGCTTACAACCTCAAGTACTAATATGATAAAGTGTGCCAAGTATTAAGAAGATAACATGAGCTTAAGAAAAATGACTTGAAAACGGATTAAGAACTGGCATACGCAGCATGGCACCCGTAAGTTAACAACCCATGGAACAAGATGAGAGCTACCAACTATGAAAGCTTTATGTGCAAAAAATCCCATAAATCACCGAAGTCAAGCATCATTGGGCGCGGTCAGTACTTGGGTGGGTGACCACCTGGGAACACCGCGTGCCGTTGGCAAATTTGGGACCTGAATGGCCGAGCTCTGGCGCTCGGTGCCACAGGTTTCGGGTTCGAATCCCGGCAGTGCCATGGATGTTTGTAGTGGTTCGGAATCCACTTTAAGCTGTAGGTCCCAGTCTCCTATGACTGTAAGAGCGCCACGGAGCAAAAGTCAGACTTCTACCTACGGGTGCTCCATCACAACAGAAGCTGCTTCCTTCCCCTTCAATCATGAGCACGTATGGGCTCGTGGGCTTGGCCAGCCAAGTGGGATAAACAACAACAAACATTATTAATTGTAAATAATGAGCTAAAGCTACTTAAAATGATAGTTTTTAAAATAAAATGTTTATGGTCTAAAGTTTTAAGTTGAATTACAAATAAACTGTAAAAAATATAGAAATTTATTAGTGTGTTTAATATTTTTTTACGGTACTGAAATAGAACTGAAACACCATGACCATTCACCAGAAATAAGATAAGTAATTTCTTTCTTAAAAACTTACATTGATTAATACGAAAGACTATATTTCAATAAAGGAATTGAAATGTTGCATCTTTTATCCTGGTTTTAAATCACATGCCTTTGTAAGAAATACTGCAGAGTGCAGGTAAAAACATTTTAAATTGCTTTCAAATACTGAACATTGAAATATTCTATTTAATGTGATTCTAAGGGATAGAAATATATAATTGAAATGTGAGATCAACTTTTAATTTCCAATTTTTACATTAAAAAAAATTAAATTTCTCTAAGTTAAAATATCCTTGTTCCTTGAAGCAGCTTTTGTAATTCAGAAAACATTGATCTATAAAAAATAATATCCTCCGTTGAGTTTCAAATCATTTGATTCCCGTTTCATAATAAACATCGCAAAAAAGTAAAAATTCTAAAAGAAATTGAATCTTTTTCATCTTCCTGTACAAACAGCGTCTACTAAACAAGGAACCTATGATGATATACCTTCTTTTACTAACTCTCCGCATTTAAAAAGCGGGAAAAAGTTCGAACACAAAAGAAAACCTCTCACACAATGGCGGCCGCCGGAGCAAGTCTGCGAAGAGCTCCAAATTGAATTTTCATCTGAACCTCTTACATCCGGGGGGAAAGAGTACCATAATATCCGACTGAAATAAAAAAAAAATACTTTAAGAAGGTGAAACAAAAATTTGTTTCTCGAACTTTATTTTTGTGTAAGCTCATATTTTCTGTTAGTGACATTCGCGCAAGTACACATTGGTAAAGGCGATTGCGTTGTGAAAATTGGGCGAAAAAGGAAATAGTCTTTTATTGCCAAACACTGAGAAGAAAAAGAAATGGTGGATTCTGAGGTATAAGTTGAAATTCGTCCTTATAAAAGAGTAAAATGCAGCTGATAAAACACTTGGAGTTTGGATTAAAAAAAATTCTTCTAAGTCTGACATGATGATGAAGTGAAAGAAAAGTAAAATAAAAGAAATCAATTATTTTTATTTGAAAAGAAAATGTTGTGAATGGTAAAGAAAAGCCATTTTCTGCTTGAATGGCATTCGCTGTCATACAGCGTGAATGTGTTTTAGGGGCTTGGAAATCCTTTAAGTGCTGTCAACTTGGATAATTCTAGATTTATACTCTAGAGATTTAAAAACTTACACTAGTATTTTTGTTGACTGTAAAAGATAATATTCAAAATTTTTACTTTAAAAACGAATAAGTATGTTTTTAATACTAATTCATGATCGATTCGACGTAGTATAAATATTTTTCTGCTTAAAAAAAAATAATTGTCAATAATTGAATTGCAAAAGATACCTGTACAAATTTTGAAATTTATTAGTGTGTTTATTAATTTTTGCGTTACTGAAACAGAACCGAACCACCATGCTAGTGTATTTCTCTATAAATAGCACAAACAACTTCTGTCTTAAAGACTTGAATTCATTAAAGAAATTGAAATGTTTGCATGTTTTATTCATTTTTTAAATTGAATGTCTTTGTAGGAAATACTGCACAGCGCTAGTAAAAACATTTTAAATTGCTTTCAAATACTGAAATTTGAAATATTCTATTTAATGGAAAAATATTAAAAAAATGGAAAAATATATAATTGAAATGCGAGATCAACTTTTAATTTAAAGTATTTCCATTAAAGAATATCTTTTCTATAAGTACCTAAGTTGAAATATCTTTTACTTGAAGCATCTTTTGTAATTCAAAAAACATTTATCTCTCTCTCTCTATATATATATATGAAATTCTTCTGCGTTGAGTTTTAAATCATTTGATTCTCCCTTCATAATAAACATTGTAAGAAAAATGTGAAAAGAAATTTAATCTTTTTCATCTTCCTGTACAAACAGCGTCTGCTAAACAAGGACCCTATAATGGTTTACCTTCTTTTACTAACACTCCACATTTAAAAAGCGGGAAAAAGTTCGAAGACAAAAAGAGAACTTCTCACACAATGGCGGCCGCCGGAGCAAGTCTGCGAAGAGCTCGAAATTGAATTTTCTTCTGGACTTCTTACATCCGAAGGGGGGAAAGAGTGCCATAATATTCCAACTGAAATAAAAAAAAAACTTTAAGAAGGTGAAACAAAAATTTGTTTCTCGAACTTTATTTTTGTGTAAGCTCATATCTTCTGTTAGTGACATTCGCGCAAGTACACATTAGTAAAAGCGATTACAGTGTGAAAATTGGGCGAGAAATGAAATTGTCTTTTATTGCCAAACACTAAGAAGAAAAAGAAATGGGGGATTCTGAGGTATAAGTTGAAATTCATCCAGATAGAAGAGTTCAAATGCAGTTGATATAAAACAATAGAAGTTTGGATTAAAAAAAAAATTCTTCTAAGTCTGACACGACGATGAAGTGAAATAAAGAAAAAGAACCCAACTATTCTAATTTAAAATGAAAGTGTAGTAAATACTAAAGAAAAAAAAACAGAAACGCCATTTTCTGCTTGAATGACATTCGTTGTCGTATAGTGTGAAGGTGTTTTACTCTCATCGAAGTAGTTTGGAAATCCTGGAAGTGTCCACTTCGATAGTTCTAGAATTATACTCTTGGGACTTAAAAACTTTCACGAGTATTTTTGATGTGTGTAACAGATAATTATCCATTTCTTAAGTTAAAGATTTGAATTTCTTATTTTTTATGCTAGGTAAATTCATGAGGGATTAGATGTAATACAAAATCTGTCTGATTAAAAAAATAATATTAATTGTAAATAATGAACTATAAAATGATAGTTTTTAAAATAAAAGATTTATGATCTAAAGTTTTAAGTCAAATTATAAAAGATACTGTAAAATGTATTGAAATTTATTAGTGTTATTAATATTTTTTTACAGTATTGAAACAGAAAGGAAACACCATGCTAAAATACTTCGCTAGAAATTACGTAAATGACTTCTTTCTTAAAAACTTACATTTTTTAACTCGAAAGACTATATTTCAATAAAGGAATTGAATTGTTTGCATCCTTTATGTAGTTTTTAAATCGAATGTCTTTGTAAGAAAAACAGTGCAGGTAAAAAGTTTTTAAAATGCTTTCAAGTACTGAATATTGAAATATTCTACTTAATGAGATTTTATGGAAAAAAAATATATAATTGAAATGTGAGATCATTATTTAATTACAAGTATTTGCATTAAAAAAGTCACATTTTTATAAGTACCTAAGTGAAAAATATCTTTTACATGAAATAGCTTTTGTATTTCAAAAAACATTTATCTATATATATATATATATATATATATATATATATAATTCTCCTTCGTTGAGTTTTAAATCATTTGAATCTCGCTTCATAATAAACATTGTAGAAAAAATTTCTAAAAGAGATTGAATCTTTTTCATCTTCCTGTACAAACAGCGTCTGCTAAACAAGGACCCCATAATAGTTTACCTTTTTTACTAACACTCCACATTTAAAAAGGCGGGGAAAAGTTCGAACACAAAAGAGAGCTTCTCACACAATGGCGGCCGCCGGAGCAAGTCGGCGAAGAGTTCCAAATTGAATTTTCCTCTGAACTTCTTATATTCGGGGGGAAACAGTGCCATAATATCCAATGAAATAAAAAATTCTTTAAGAAGGTGAAACAAAACTTTGTTTCTCTAACTTTATTTTTGTGTAAGCTCATATCTTCTGTTCGTGACATTCGCGCAAGTACACATTGGTAAAGGCGATTGCGTTGTGAAAATTGGGTCTGAAAGGAAATTGTCTTTCATTGCCGAACACTAAGAAGAAAAAGAAATAGCGGAGTCTGAGGTATAAGTTGAAATTCGTCCTTATAAAAGAGTAAAATGCAACTGATAAAACACTAGAAGTTTGGATTAAAAAAAATTCTTCTAAGTCTGACATGACGATGAAGTGAAAAAAAAGTAAAATAAAAGAAATCAATTATTTTTATTTGAAAAGAAAATGTTGTGAATGGTAAAGAAAAGCCATTTTCTGCTTGAATGGCATTCGCCGTCATACAGCGTGAATGTGTTTTAGGGGTCTGGAAATCCTTTAAGTGTTGTCAACTTGGATAGTTCTAGATTTATACTCTAGAGATTTAAAAACTTACACTAGTGTTTTTGTTGACTGTAAAAGATAATATTCAAAATTTTTACTTTAAAAATGAATAAGTATGTTTTTAATATTAATTCATGATCGATTAGACGTAGTATAAATATTTTTCTGTTTTAAAAAAAATTAATTGCCAATAATTGAATTGCAAAAGATACCTGTGCAATATTTGAAATTTATTAGTGTGTTTATTAATTTTTGCGTTACTGAAACAGAACCGAACCACCAGGCTAGTGTATTTCTCTATAAATAACACAAACAACTTCTTTCTTAAAGACTTGCATTCATTAAAGAAATTGAAATGTTTGCATCTTTTATTCAGGTTTTAAATTGAATTTCTTTGTAGGAAATACTGGACAGAGCTAGTAAAAACATTTTAAATTGCTTTCAAATACTGAAATTTGAAATATTCTATTTAATGGAAAAATATTAAAAAAATGGAAAAATATATAATTGAA